TCGAGTGGGCGAAGAATTGTACCGCGTGAAAAAGAATACTTATTCATCCTTCTGAAAATGACAAATGCGAGTTTTGTCGGTCTCGAGCTGTCCGGTGAAGATAATGCAATGCACCTATCGCACACTCGAGCGTGTGTATAACCCAATGACCTCCGTATAAGTTAAGTTTTTCAAACCTCCTTTTCTTCGCCGTGCCCGTATTAGCATAAATAAATATTCTCGAAATTACTTAGCCGTGCCATCCCAACAGGAAAGTCCCGCGCCACGAAGCCTTTAACTATATTATATATTAGCTGTATATGCATATACCAAGAAATATATGTATATAAACCAACCCGTATATTATATTTATATTATATACATCGAAGCGCGTAACAAGGAGTGACGATGATGTCGCACGTCGTGTACACGCATACCCAAACATGATATGTGAAGAAAAACCATCGAGATAGCGTCTACACGTCGGAGCAAACATTGATTTGAATCACAATAGCTTCCCACCCACCCTCACCCCATTCCAACTATATTTATATATGCATCCGTGTATTGTTGCGCGTTACTTATTGTATAAACTTATCCTTTCCCCCCCCCCCCCCAACGACCCGCATAAGCGTCTTTTTTTTCGAGTTGTCCAAGTTCACATGTACGTACGTACACGAGCAGTCGGTCTATCAATCCACTTACTTACATGTGCCACTTGTGGCTCTCTCTCTCTCTCTTTCCATCGCGGGGAAAATCGCGAGTGGAGAATAATAGGAGCATCGACCCTCCGCTCGATTCGCCAAGGCGTTTCTTTCTTATTTACTCGCCCTTCGTTCTTTTGTCTGTGCTTTGCGCCACAGTAGGTCGACCCTTGATTTTTCATTCAAAAATTTTTTCCTCCGTCTGTTTCAGGCGGACTGGCTGCCCTGGATGTATATACAGCTGGAGTGATGATGACGTTTTACCTGCACTTGACTGTGGTAAGTACAGACTCCTTTAATTACAATTACATTTCTTTTGTACAATCGATTATTTTTGAAGCACACCTATACGAAATTTTATCATGTAATCAAATTATGATCAAATGGAAGCTCCCCCTGCGCGCCTATATTTATATCACTGCATAATAACAGGGAAAACGAAGTGTAAAATCTTCTGAATCAATTACGATTAACAGGTGAAAAAAAAAAAAAAAAAATCACTTCTTACCTGTGAGTATCCTATAAAGACTCTGCAGTGAGTAAGTGAAAGAAAAGTGAGTCTGCACCGAATCGCGGGCATAAAACACGTCGCGACTGATCGGTCATCGTCACTCTATAGCTTTTATATGTATATACATATATATGTATAGCAGTGGTACACAATGCGCCCAAAGTCGGTCCGTGCCATTCATTCGCTTGTAACATATAGTTACTTTTTATTTCGCTCGCTCATACTACTATACGTGTACCTATATACTGTACAACGATGAACTACATTGCGGTTTGTACGGCCGAGAAAACTTTACTTTCCATTCAGGTTCCATTGTTGACGTTTCTTTTGACATTATATCGGGTACTTACCCTCACGTCTGTCTATTTGCGCACAAAAAGATCTAGTTAGCTAATTGAATTCTCGACTTGAGCCATTGAATACCTTTTTCTATTGTACGTGAAATTTAATTTTACACCTTTTTCGGACCGACAAAGCGTTGTATGAACGACGAATTCCGCAAAACATTACCACTTGAGGCTATTTGATTAGATTATTTTATGTAATTGCACAAAAAAGCAAAAATGATCGATTCCTGGGAAAAAAAAAAAAAAAACCATTGAAGAAAAGTAGCCATTTCCTCGGTTGCTTTCTAGCGTGTCCTCGCGATGGCGCTCCTTACCGCACCGCGCACAAACAGCAGCGTCTTGTTACAACCGCACGAAACGAGCGGTGATGATGGCCACTCTCCTCGCATGTGTGCTCTCTCAAGTGCAAGCCCCTCCTCCCCGAGACGCCCAAAAATGTGAAAGAGCCCTCTCTCTCTCTCCATTCTCGACGCGCACCGAATCTTATATTTCTTTCTCTCCTCCTTCGTTTTTGTCAAGTAAGTATATCATTCTTGAGCGGAGCGCGACTTCTGCATGGCTCTATGATTATCTATATACGACGCATTCTTCCATTATTACCGAACGGTGTGTGCGTTTTTATGGGGTATGTTTGTATGTAATAATATGCGCACGTGTGTTAATATGTATGTTCATGTGCGTTCGTACGTGTGGATATACGCGAGTGCCACGAGCCACCGCAACAGGTCTTATATGTATTGGTATAGGGATGCAGGGGATGAAAAGAAAGTCTGCGCCTTTCTTTCGTGAAGAAAGGCATTCGTCGAGACGCGGATTTTGGCAGGAGCGAGGATGTATACATATAGGACTGCGTGCGCGTACGTATAGGAGATGTACGCGGGAGCTGCGAGACTAAATGGATCAAACTGAGCGTGATAATGGCGAAAAGAAGACTTTAAGTGACGTTTGCCATTCATCGTTTTGTTCCCACCCGCTTCCCTATTTTTTTTTTTTTTTTTTTCTTTTCCTACCTTTTCTATGCTTCAAGAAGGAGAAGAAGTACAATGTAAGAAGTCGTATCTCGAAAATTTGTCCTGGACAAACAACGAAGGGGAAAGTGAGCTAGAGCAACGGAGGAGTGATAGCGGCCCCTTTTGTGCGCGCACCCGCGATCTTTTGATCGTCGTACAACATGCGCATACAGAGATACTTACAAACATGTGGGCAGATTCTTAGTACCTACGCGTATTTAATAATGGCTTTGACGAGATGCGGTTCTTTCTTTCTTTGCTCCGTGCACTTTGTCTTGTGCGCCCCTGCCGTAGGTATAATATCTTTTCTGGGAATGCGTATATATCAGCGTACATATTATAACGTATGTGCTAAGGGTTAAAAGTTCGGAAGACTCTCCTCTTCGGGACCCGTCCCGTTTCTTTTGTACCCGTCTTTCGCTGCTGCAAGGCTGTAAAGTGTGCTCATTAATCCGCTCGCGTGCTTCCTTTCCTTCGATTCTTTTATCATCCGTCTCTGAATGCCATGCGTGTATAGAGATTTGTTTTGGCGATATTGATATCGGTGAAAAAAGAGTTGCTCAACAATTTTCAGCCGTTGTCCGCGGGCACTCGTGCGGACTTTATGTGCAAACTGTATTATTACGCGTGGGGGTGTTTGATGTTCAATAAAAGTTCAATAATCTAATTAAACAATCGTAAGTGATGGATTATATACAATTGGCTTAAAGTGACTCTTTATTTTTTTTCGATGGTAATTTCTTTTTTTTTTTTTTTTTTTTTCCTATCAGCTTAAATTTGACAATTATGGAAGATTTGCCTTTTTATTTGACTTGAGCGTATATGATAAGCTGTAAGTTTAACAATTTTTGAGGTAGAAAGTTACGCAGCATACATTTAAACAGTTCATCAGACCTAATTTATTATTATAATTTTGGCAATCAAATATAAATCTGAAAATTTTCCAGCAAAACACGATTATCTTCGTTAAACACATGTTAGATAATCATGTGCGGGTTATAGATAATTTGAAAAAACCATGTTGTTTGCACACATACAGTCACGGTTGTTACGGTTCGAAGAGCTGTGTTTGCACAGACATTTGTGGAATATGTGTCAAATATTTGTCAGTTGAACGTACGTTTTCAAAGCCACCGAGTGAAAAGACGAAATGCTGCGTAAAAATACAAGTATCCAATTTCATGAAATTCATTGCTACGATAGATTAAATCGTACTAGTTTTATATTTTTAGATTTAAATTTTATTTTCAGATAATACGCTCTATTATGCTCTATCTACTTGATCAATTTGTTGAGTGAAATTTCGACTCGTAGTTGTTAGTTTCTTTAAATTTTATTACAATTTTTATCCCACAATAAATGCAACTACAGTATAGTAATCTAAAACAATGGGAGAACTGTATTTGTAAGTGAATACCAAGTAGCTAGTCCCATTACTATAAAATTTAATCTCATAAGTCGCGTTATCGCCGTCTTCTTATAGAACAAAGACTTGGCTATGTTTGCCAAAATTTTTACGTGTGAAGCTTTACATCAAAATTTTGTGAAAAAAAAATGTTGGAAACTCATCACAGACCAAAAGAATACCTAATTTTTACACGTGGAAACAAACCTCAGTGCCCTACTCTGCATCATGCAATACAGTAGCTACATCATGCCCCTTTACGAAAATGATTCCATTAACTTTATCAAATTCACTGACGAGTTTAATGACGAACTTTGGAAATTAAAAAATATAAATGCTTTGCTACCCGTGCGTAGCTGAAATTCGCTCTCATCGCTTCGTATATAAAAAAAAGGGTTAAAAAAAAGAGGGAAAAAAAAAAAAACAATAAAACGCGTGTCAGCCGGGTGGCCGGCGTATTGGCGCTCTCTATTTCGCTTCCCAGAAAGACAGCCGTAGGCAGAAACCGTCGCTCGATAGGCCGTCCCGCTAGAGGTCGCTCGTGAATTCTTGACGTCAGACACGGTGAAGCTCCGCCTCGTGGCTACCAAGCGTCGACTAGCCATTGGCCGGGCGCAATGATGGCAGGCACGCGCATCCAATCGATCGACTTGCCAGGGCAGGTACGCTCGTTCAGCCGTACCCGTCTGCGCATTCGCCGAACTCCTGAGCCACGAGGTGGAGGGGGGATTCTAGTGCGGAGCGCCGCAAGTTCTAGTGGGTGGGGATGGACGATGCAGAGGAGAGTACCGAAGGCTTGCAGGGAACGCGATGGCGAGGAATGAGGAGGGGGGGAAAGACAAGCTCGCGCGCGCGCCTGCAGGAAACGACCGAGACAAGGCTCAAACTGTGCAGAGAGAAGTGCGTGGGGGGAAAAAGTGTATGTGGATACCTCGAGGCTAGAACCTCGAATGATCAGACTGTTCTGTTCTTTCGTCGAGAGTGGAGCGCTGCACCGAAGTCAGCCCCTCCGCGGTTTGTCTTCTATTTTTATCAGTGCTATCTTGACCACGAAAAACATAATACAAGTTGATACAAGCTCTTTTAATCGTTGTGTTCTATAGAGAACACAAAAATTAGCAGTGTTGAAAGAGCCCACGTACCTTGTACAGAAAGAGTAGCAAGAAAACGGGAGTGCAGAAATCGAAAATCGAGTTGCCGGAATCCGAGTAGAAAAAAAAGAGAAGGAAATTCGATTCGAAAGAGCGCGCGCAACGGGAACACGCGATTCGTCGAAGCGTGCGGTGCCAGCTAACCAGTCAGCAAGCGACGAGGATAGGAGAGGGACGGAGCGTGTACAAACAGGCCAGAATCCTCTGTCCTTTTTCCTCTCTCGGGCGACGCGCGCGCCGTGCTGCCTAGAAGGTTGGAAGAGGCAAAAGTGACAGTGTGCATTTCAGTTCTGGTTCGGACTCTGTGAGGGACGGTCGCGTGTTTCTTTGTCCCGCTCTGCCTCTCCTCGCCTTGCGCAAGGAGTTCCAGGACCTGTTTGTGCAACAAATAAACCAGTACGAACTTGTCCACGAGCAACAGTCACAGTTCCCAATGATAACAATATAACGATTGTGTTGTTACGTATAAAAGTTGTTCGCCAATGGTTTTGAACCTTCGTGGAACAATTAAAAAAGAAACATTGTATCGCGATTGTGCGGAAATATATATTCTACCGTGTGCGAACATTAACCGATCTGATTCACGATCATTGATCGAATGACTCTCGTGGTGTTGTACTTCGCAATCACTGATCCGAGACAAGTGGCCCTTAATGTCTCGTGCGCAGGACACAAAGTTTCCAAGTTCACGTGACGAACAACTGCGGTCATCTTAGGACATCTTCGAAGAAGAGTACCCCACTGCCCGTCATCAGTGTCAGCATCTTCGATAGCGTGGCGAACGCTGTCGTAACCAGTACTAAACAACAGGCAGGTGGACTCCTGCGGTGAGGAGGAGATAACTTGTCACGGTGCCCCAGGTCTGTAAACAAAAGTCAGTCAAGCTGTACGGGCACAGGGAGCAGGAAGACATGCTCACGATGGAGACGGACCTAAAGGGCGGCAGCCTGCACGGCCAGATGCCACCGCACCCCCATCAGGGCGTCTCGCCCATGGGCCATCACACGGGCGTTGTCTCGTCCTACGGAGCTTTGGGCTCCCTCGTACACAGCCCATCCCTGTCGGGCAGTCCGCCCAGCAGTGGTCTCGGCAGCCTCTCATTGCAGCAGCACCATCATCAGGCGACTCAGCACCACTACGCCTCGATGCATGCTGCCGCTGCGGCTGCTCAGCAGCAGGCCCAGCAACAACAGGCCCACAGCCAGCAACACAGCCAATCGATGCACTCGTTGGGACAGCAGCAAATCAGTGCCCAGCAACAGCAGCCCCCGCAGCATCACCCACACCAACAACAGCAGCAGCAACAACAACAACAACAGTCCCAGTCGCATCAGCCACCCAACAACAATAACAGCACCAGCAAGAACAACAACCTCGACCGGGTTAAGAGGCCGATGAATGCGTTCATGGTGTGGTCAAGAGGACAGCGTAGGAAAATGGCTCAGGAGAATCCGAAGATGCACAACAGCGAGATTTCAAAGAGACTCGGTGCCGAGTGGAAACTCCTGAGTGAGTCGGAAAAACGGCCGTTCATCGACGAGGCCAAGCGGCTCCGGGCTGTGCACATGAAAGAGCATCCAGACTACAAGTACCGACCAAGACGTAAGACCAAGACTCTGCTTAAGAAGGACAAGTTTCCGCTTGCCGGTGGTGTAGCCGGCGTTGGAGGAATGCTTGGGGTTGAGCACCAACGGCAGGTTGGTAACAGTGCCGGATCCCAACAAGTCAGTCGCGAGGTCTATCAGATGCCCAGTAGCTACATGCCCAACGGGTATGCGATGATGCATGACCCGACGGCAGCTTACCAGCAGCACTACAGCGGACATATGAATGCTGCTGCAGCAGCCGCGGCAGCTGGCTATCCCAGGTACGACATGGGTCATCAGCTAGGCGGTGGTAGTCCCTCGCCCCTCAACAGTTACATCAACGGATACGGCGGCTATGGGTCTGCAGCAACGACGACGGTTCCTGGTGGATCGCCCTCACCCTACCATCAGGCCCAGCCTGGCTCCCAGATGTCCAGTCACAGCCCGTCGGGCAGCAGTATAAAGAGCGAGCCCACGAGTCCGGCTAGCGCGGGCATACACACGCCCACGCCCAGTGGGCCAAACTCGACGAGTGGACCCCAAGTCAAGAGGGAGTACATGACCCAGTCGCAGCAGCAGCAACAACAGCAGGACAACAGTTTCCAGCAAATGATCTCAATGTACATGGACCCAAACGCCATGCAGCATCACAACGTGTATTCGCCTGGACCGTCGCCTGACTCCCTCGGACAGCATCAGTCGGTCATGCCACCTCTAACCCATATGTAAGAATACATCTTTATACAAACTTACTCTTCGCTGTCCTATTTCAGAAGAATTTTTTTCCTCTCTTTGACTACTATTGGAAAAACTTCATCCTCTCGAAACGAGATGCTGTAATCGAAATGTTTATGGCTACATGGCTACAACAAGGGCAATAGTCCCAACTGTTTGCTTGTGGTAGTTCATTGCGCATCAGATACATTATTGGTACAGCATTTCGTTTTATTCAAGTGCAATTATATCATGCTGATTTAAAAAAACGAGTGAACTCGGAAGAGACAGTCGGCAACGTCTTAACACAAAGAGATCGGAATGAAGAATAATCGTTACGAGTTACGTTAACGTGCATTTGTAGCGGTGCTTTTAAATAATGGTTTTCGGCATCAAATTCAGAATAGTTAGTTCACAGTTTCTGATTTTTGTTAATTTTCTTCTGAAAACCACTTTTGGTAAAATTACATCCGGTCTCTTTGTGCACCATCCGACGGCGACTGATTAGCACGCGTGTCTTGGTTACCTCCATCAAACCTGGGATTCTAGGATTATTGTTTTATTTTCTCGCAAGATGAACGAAACGATAATACCACACGCCGTAGCATTCACTTTGAATTCTTTCTTTGTATACTTTCGCGTGCTATACGTGTACTTCTAACTCACAGAAAAAAAAAATAAGCAAAAACCAAAATTCCATTACCTAACGCAGAATATAACTGACCCCGTAGGATAGCTTAGAGGACGGATGGATGAACGAGGCCTGAGCTCCCGAGAAATTGACTCAGACACGGATAACGAGAAAAAGATAACTATTACGAAAAGTAACAAAAAGAAAGAGAGCAAGCAAAAAGCTCGATTTTTGCTTAATTGCACAAACACGTGGGGGCCCGCGGGAAAAGCCGCTGCCGCCGCCGCCGCCGTCTTCGCCGTTGCTTCCGAAACACGGGGGTTTTTGCCACACGTGAAAATCCTAGGACGCACCGGAAAAATACAATAAAGATATATAACATACAGACACACGAGCCAGCGAGGAGATAACACATTCTCAAGGAGATACGACAGATATGAAAACGAGAATTATTCAGAAACACGCTCGAGTTGGGACACGAATTGGGATCGGCAAGCATCATCGATGAACTAAGCACAGACCTACTACAGAGCCTCACATCAATCAATATCACCGAGAACAAAACCACATTTAGCCGCAAAATTTTTTTTGGACGCTAAATTTTTATCATCACAACCTTGAGTTTGTATTGGCTGTATTTTTTTTATTTATTTATTTAATTTTACATCATTAATCATTATTATTATTATTGCGATTGAAATTTTGTTGTGCAACTACTTTTATATATGCTTGCGATACGAATACACTCTGATACTTGTTCGTATTGAAGATGAGAGAAAAGTCTTTTAACTGTGATAGCCAAAAGTTTTCGAATCCAATACATACACGTTTTGCAGTCCCAGCAATGTTTATCGATTTGTATTTGCTGAGACTGCGATACTGTACACTTTTTAATAGTTTACCATAAATGACAAATATCATTACACCCGCACATTTTTTCGATATTTTAGTATAGTCATTTTATACGATGATAAAAGACTTTTCTCTACTCGGCTAATCACCAAAAGTATCCATCTCGTGGGCTCTCGACGTTTTCGCGGCGGCGTTTGGTGGCGCTTCCGTGAGATCCCCACGTATACGCCTTTTTCTTGCTGCCTCTTTCGTCCTTTTTTCCAAGAGAAGAAAAAAGAGCATAAAGGTTACTTTTAATTTGAATGCTCGTGCTTTTTTTCCAACTAGTGAAAAAAGCGAGCCGGGGCAAACGTTGGACCGGTGAAAATTAAAATTATGTTCGTGAACGCGCGAGTGAAGCGCTCGATGAAATTTATTATTTAATTGGTACGACATACAAAAAAAAATCTATATATATATATTAACGTTTAGTATTATTTGTACATTTTGTAAAATATATTTTTGTATATGTAACATTGAGATATTATCATTACGTTTATATTTTATTTCATAAAAATAAGGGAAATTAATTATGTACCACCGCTCGATAAAAGGCCATCAAATAACAATCATGGAAATGGAAACAGTATAATAGTTTTGGAGAAAAAAAAACAATTATCGTCTTGTTCGCTCGCGCGCTTCCGCTCGAGTATAAAAAAAAACTGGTTTCTTGTTTTTCTTTCTTACAGTTACGAACGTTTGTTTTAAAAAGTGACGTAACGAAGAAAAAATCAAAATTAAAAATATATATTGATGCTCAGTGATTCGTTGACGAGTATACGGGTAGACTCGTTCTCCTCAAATAACCACTGTGATAAAGAAAGAATTATCGTGCGAAGAGTATACATGAGTTCGTAGATTCTTGCGTGTTGAGGAAACGAAATCCGAAGGGGGATGGTTTATTGTTTTCGATTAGTAGTGCAAAATTTTATTTGAACCATTTTTTTTTTTTTTTCAAGTTTCAGTACGAAGCTAATACGATTTGACAACTTTTCTGACTTGGATTCATTAACATTTATTGAATTTTTCTTGAATTTTGGAGATGTATTACTCCCTAATCAGAGACATTTGTTTTATTTGCATTTAAGCACTAAAAAAGTTGACCGATCTTGGCAAGACCAATTAATTTTCACTCTAAAAAAATTCATCCTACATTGTAAGAAACTTCGGCAAAAAAATTTTTTTTTTTTTTCACGTTTTAACATGTTAAAGAGTCGATGTTTGGAAACGCTTCGTTGGAGAAAAAAAATTAATCATCCCTATGTAAATCCCGTATGAAACGAATGCCAAATCCGTAAAATGCGCCAAAGAGCAATGAGGCTCTTAAAAAAAGCATTCCCAAAATAATCCAAGCTAATAACTGTCACGGCCAAAAAAACCCTCAAGCACCCGTTTACACCAAACGACTGGCAATAACGAGCCAATCAAATAAAGAGCCCGCACTGCTTGCGAAACAAAGAAAAAGAGGGTAAACCTCCGAATTTTTTTCGTGCATTTAGGGCCAATTTGTAAATAAGCCTCTTTAATCAAGCGACAAGTAAAAAGAAAAATAAAGTGCGGGGGAGTAGGTGGAAGTACACTCGGGTACCCCTGCCGAAAATTCTCTCTGTACGTATATACACTTTTTGCAACGCCTCTCGAACCTCCGCTAATTGGCCATTTGGACGTCGGAATGCGTACGCGTCAAAGGTATGGCTCTTTTTTTCTCTCTCTCGATTCGATGATAGATTTTTTTTTTCCAGCATATTTTTCACTCCCACGAGAGCTTTATTATTCCCATCGCTGAATGCCCATTGATGCGGGAGGCCCGGCTTTTTTTCGCGCTGCATTGCTCTTTGCGCGTGTCGAGTTTTATTATCGGAGACGCGGTGCAGTCAAAGCGGTGCATTGGCCTTTTTTATTATTATTTTTTTTTTTCAGCGTCATAGAGGTGGATTTCAAGTTTTGGGAAGTACCGCGCGAGTGACACTTCTAGTGCTCGCTGTCAGCCGTAAATGCCTTTTATCCGAGTTTCTATCAGAAAACTGGTCTTACGAGTGCTGTTTTCATCCCGGGATATTGTTTACGCACGATCGAGCTTTCATTTTTTTCTTTGTCCCTCCGTTGGAAGGTTTTTGAAGATTTTCGTGCTTACAGTTAATGGTTGCGTGTCTACAGTTGCCTACGCAGACTCTTTTAAAAATGTACCTGCCGATATTCGGATGAAACTGATTAATCGTGTTTAATACATCCAACATAATCGATTGTTGCTAACAAGAAAGTGCACCAATGCATAGATGAGTCTCTGTTTTTCGGTTTAAAAGTAATTGTATTGTATCAGAATAATCCTAGTGAGAAATTTCTGGACCATTTTAATCATAAATTTGAGAAAGAAAATGCTTTTTGCATTGGTAAGTTTTTGCCTTGGGATAAATAGGATTTAATTCGATCAAAAAACTTGTTGAAAATTAAATGAAATAATTGTCTTTGGAAAAAATATTTCTATCTATTGCTTTGTCATGTCCAATTATACTTATACATATGATTTTGTAAGACCTTGATTTTCACACATGAGAGTAGTAACCGCGACTCAATTAACGGACAATTGAAAATCAATTAAATTGACTTGTGAGTTTTTCATGACCATATGAACGTATGAGCATGCGATCGCATCGATAGCTGGTCTATTGATAAAAAATGATTATTATACATTGATATCGATGAATGGGAGCCCCTCAAATACAAACGAGCAGTGTAGGACGCAAGGTGAAATAAATTATTTAGGTTGGCAAACATTGTCCAACATATTAAACTCTCCAACGATTATTCATACACACACTGCACACATGACAATAACCAATCACCGCGTAAGTACCAAAACCAACGATAAAATCTAAAAATCCAAGAGCCGTCCCCCATTGTCAAAGAGCCCGCACATCACACACATATATCTCTTAAGCATTAGCTAATCGACAAAAAGTATAGCCCCTTTTCGCACAGGGGCGAGCTTTTCATACTCGGGGGATAATTACGGCACTTACACCGGGGCAATAGGTGGGCGACGCGCGTTGTCTGCGCCAACCAACAACTGCGTACACTCGGCATCGTCATCAGCCCAGCAGCTCTTCTCTCACCCTCTCGGTTCTCTCTGTCCCCTTGGACCCGAAACGCACTCGTCCCTTCCTCCCTCCTTTTTTTTTTTTTTTTTCTTCTACTCAACCCGTTCTGCGAGAGTAGCACCTGGCAGGGCGACGTCTCCTACTGATATATGCCGCGATTTAGGGTGGAGGCTCGAAAGGACAAAAAAAAAAAAAAAAATATAGGGGGAAACAAGAGGACAGTAGCAACTGAACCTGAAATCCTTACCGTCCTCGTATCTTTTCGCTCCTTCGTCCTCCTCGGGCTCTTCTTCCTCTTTTTTCCGTCCAAGGTACACGCTCTTTATCGCGCCGGGCTGACGTTTATGACGACAAACGGCCGTCACCGCGAGAGAGAAAAAGAGACCCGGGG